GAGGAGGAGGAGGAGGAAGAGGAGGAGGCGGAGGAGGCGGAAGATGAGGAGGAGGAGGAGGAGAAGGAGGAGGAGGAGGAGGATGAGGAGGATGAGGAGGAGGAAGGGGAGGAAGAGGGGGAGGATGAGGGGGAGGAGGAGGACTACTTAAACCTAAGAGTCACCATCGAGGTTGCAATACAACCTCCCTCTAGGCTCCCTCTTTACAGTTCCGTACATAGGGCGTCACCTACAGTGAGGGAAGTGCCCCGTTGCAAGACAACCGTCTGAACATCCTGAACCGTGCCTCAACACCACGCCTGGGATTACAATGTCGCGAATCAGTGTTACTGGGATGCCCTGTCGATCCTGAACCGTCCAGAAATCAACGTGACTGTTGCGTCCTGACAGTCATACATCTTGCCAAAACGCATGTTCTGGGACGTCAGCCAGAACAATATCTAAAACTGTAGCACGCTCCCAAGACGAATGTGCACGGCGCTTCAGCGAGAGCTACATTTTGAAAAGGGGCCACCCTCCGTCCGTGAAGCCCTTGCAATATTTGAGACTCATGTGCGCGGTGCTAAAGCGATAGCCACATGTTGAAACCAACCCGCCTTACATCCTTACAAATTCTTTTAATTTTTTGAAACGAATGTGTTCAGCGCTAGGGCGAATGCCACTTGTTGTAAACTCGCGCTCTCCATACGTGAAACCCTTGCAAATATTTAAGACGAATGTGTGCGTCGCCGGTGCGAAAGCCACATTTTGAAAACCACCGGCCCTCAACCCTGGCAAGTTTTTAGCTTCAGGATAAGAAGTGAGGAGGAAGTCTCAGGCGAAGCGCGCGGCTCGCCCTGCCGACGCGTCTCGGGGTGCGACAGGGAAACGTTATTTATAATGAAACGGATGGAGGAGGAGGACGATGAGGAGGAGGAAGAGGATGAGGGGGAGGAGGAGGAGGGGGTTGAGGAGGAGGAAAAGGAGGAGGATGAGGAGGAGGAAGAAAAGGAAGAAGAGGAATGAGAGAAACCATAATCTTAGTAATAACCAAATTAATAGTAAGAATAAGAAAGTACGACGAATGATATTATTAATACGAATAATAATACCATTAATGCGATGGAATCAAGTAATACTTTGATAATAGTAGTTTGCAAAATTATAAAATAAGACAAATGATACTTTACTAAGACAAGGATGATGCTGAGAAGAGTAGTTGCAATACTAATAACAACAATGATGACATATGATAACGCCACGAATAGTACTATGACGACTCAGCAGAACAACTAATAACAGTCATAATAATAATACTGATAGTAATGTTAATCGTCATCGTAATACTTATACTACGACTGCTAATATTAATAGTCATGAAGAGGTTCTTAGTAATACTGATAGTATGCATAATACGAAGACGAAGCATAACACGAAAACTAAGATTGATAATGCTAAGCATAATAATAGAATGACAGAGGAGGAGGTGGAGGAGGAGGAGGAGGAGGAGGAGGAGGAGTGGGCGGCGCGGCGCGGAGGACTCGTACCCCTTCAAGCGCAGCGTCAGCGGCGCCAGCGGCGCCAGCGAGGCGTCCACCAGGGTCACTTTCTCGCGCAGCATCACGGAGGCTCGCCCCCCCCCCCTCGCGAGCGGCACGCAGCGAGCACCCAGTCGGAGCTTCGGAGGCAGGGCCCACTGCGGCTTCGGCAGCGTCTCGCCCCTCCCCGGGCCCTTCCATGGGTCTGTCTCCCCCCGGCGCTCCTCGTGCCTCTCGGCGCCTCCTGGGACAGACTGGGGGGCCTCGTTCCCGACCCGGGCTTTTCCTCGTGGCCGGTTTGGACGGCGAGAGGCGCTGTTCAGCGGACGCCGCTCTGGGCGGGGCCTCCGCGCGTGGGGGGGAGGGAGGGCAGAGCGGTACAAGGGAGGAGGAGGGGAGGGGGCGGGACGCGGGAGGAAGCGCAGACATGGACGAAGGCGCATGGATTAGGGACGGGTCCCGCTTCTACACCTGCTCGGCGCGATCCGTCGCTGGATCGGGCGGCAGTGGCGCCATGTATCCACGGACTTGGCGCCCACGCGGCAGATCCACGGATCCTCATTCTGTGCCAGCGTGTGCCCGAGGGAGGGGAGTGGATGTGACAAGATGGGCGCAAAGAGGTGAGTAGGGAGGTGGGCGGGAGGGAGTAATGTCTTGGTACGGGCTGTCGTGGTAACGGGTGCCCCTTCTGATGCTTGCACTGCCTTTCATGAGCGGAGTGCGTCCAGAACTCCCCTTTATCTTTTATGCCATCCACAGTGTCTGAATGTCCACTTCATCCCGCCGCGCAGGACTCGAAGGTCCACGTTAGTCACTTCGCGTAGGTCTACCCGTCGCTCTGAGTGTTCGAGCGGAGGCAGCCTGAGGACAGCGCGTGGTGCGAGCAGGAAGTGCATCTGTTTGAAGTTCCGAATGTGGGGTGAATGAGACGCTGAGGGTGTACCATCTTATTGTCAGAAGGTTGGTACATGGGCCGCTTATGCAACGGCTTCGCGCATTCCACTGGCTTATGTTGGTATCGTCCTCGCCATTTGCCTGCGCGCTTGAGGGAATTTGGAAGTTGTTGGGTAATGATAAGTTTCCGATCCTATCGTGTGACGCTCGGACGGGGAATAATCAGTCGCTTCGCATTTTGAGCGCAACACTCAAAGGGACAGTCACTCCCCCACCCAAGTCCCGCCATGAAATCTAGAAGCGCCCGAATGCATTGTTCAAATTGCTTCGTGGGCCGTCGGAGTATCTTGGGGGACTCTCGGGGTCCTTGGGAGGCTTCTGGAGGTTCTGGGGGCCTCTGATTGTTTTTTGGGGGTCCCTGGGGGGGCATCTTTGAGAATTTCAGGCTAGCTGGAGTTTTCTTGGGGACCGTCTTGGACCATCTTGGCGTCTTGGGCCACTTTGGGGTCATTTCGAGGCCTACTGGGGCTGTCTTGGGGCCATTATCGGAGCTTGCCTCCCACGGGTCCCCGCTGCAGGTCCCCCCTTTGGCCTTCTGTGAGCTCTCCTGGGGCTCTCTCGCTGCCCCAGAGAATTGAGGGCACTCTCAGGGCTCTTTTGGTTTGGGTGCTCGCAGGGGCTCCTCCTCCTCCCCCCCTCCTCCTCCCCCTCCTCCTCCTCCTCCTCCTCCTCGTCCTCCTTCCCCTCCTCCTCCTCCCTCCCCCCATCCCTCCCTCCCTCCCTCCCTCCCTCCCTCCCTCCCTCCCTCCTCCCTCCTCCCTCCTCCAGTCATGATCATGGCACTGTTGGGGGACTCTGGCATGGCACTGGGGGCTACCAGGAGCTGGAGCTTCTCGGGGCCCGTGGGAGGTTTCTCGGGAGCTGTCTTGCACAATCTTGGGCCACCTTGGGTCATCCTGACCCTTTGGAGGCACTTTTGCAGCGCTCTGGGGGCCCCGTTGGGGAGTCCTGGGGCCCTCTCAGGGCTCTTCGGGGTCCTCTTGGGACAGCATGGGGGCCGAGAAGCCCATCGAAGCCCGCAGGGGCAGATCGGCACCCACATTTTGTTCTATGCTTCTGGTCACCGTGGGGGATTTCTGGGGATCTCTGAAGACTAACAGGGGCCACTCGTGAGCTTCTTGGGGCTTCTTCTGTGTTCCTTGGGGGCTGTCTTGGACCATGCCGGGGCACATCGGGGTCATCGTGGGGCCTGTCGGGGCTGTCTTGGGGCCATCTTGGGACCTGCCTCCCACTGACCCCCGCTGGGGGGCGCTCTTGGAGCTATCTGGGGGCCCTCCAGGTTGTGGCCCGAGAAGCCCACTGGAACCCGCACAGGCAGGAGCGCCGACATACTCGAAGCATGAGTGTAATTTTTGTTATTTCGGCCGCCCTCTTGGGACCACCTGGCCGTCTGGGCTTTCTGTGCATTCCATTGGGCTGTCTTGGACCACCTTGAGCCATCTTGGGGCCACCTCGGCACCATCTCGGAACTGTCTCGGGACCATGTTGGGGCCATCGTGGGACCTGACACGCTTTGATCAGCGCGTTTGCCGTTTTTCCCTACCTAGGCTCTGCCTAGAAGGGTTCTTACTTTATATGCTTAAAGGGCCGGGCAGTGTTGCCCGCCCCGGGCGGTTCCCCCAGCATCCGCCCCGCGGTTCCCCCAGTGACGTTGCCTTAGCTTAGCGTTGCGTATCTCATCTTAGCTTAGCTTATTTCATCTTAGCTTAGCGTAGCTTCATCTTAGCTCAGGTTTATCTTAGCTTAGCTTAGCTTCCCTTAGCTTCGCTTAGCTGTAGCTGAGCTTAGCTTAGCTTAGTTTAGCTTAGCTTAGCTTAGCTTAGCTTTAGCTTTGCTTTAGCTTAGCTTTAGCTGAGCGTTAGCTTTACTTTAGCTTAGCGTTATCTTAGCTTTAGTTTAGCGTTAGCTTTGCTTTAGCTTAGCTTTAGCTTAGATTTAGCTTAGCTTTAGCTTGGCTTTAGCTTAGCTTTAGCTTAGCTGCAGCTTAGCTTTAGCTTGGCTATAGCTTAGCTTTAGCTTAGCTTTAGCTTAGCTTCAGCTTCGCTTCCGCTTAGCTTCCGTTTAGCGTTAGCTTATAGTTAGCTTAGCTTTAGCTTAGCTTTAGCTTAGCTTTAGCTTAGCTTTAGCTTGGCTTTAGCTTAGCGTTAGCTTAGCTGCAGCTTAGCTTTAGCTTGGCTATAGCTTAGCTTCAGCTTAGCTTCAGCTTAGCTTCAGCTTAGCTTCCGCTTAGCTTCCGCTTAGCTTCCGCTTAGCGTTAGCTCATAGTTAGCTTAGCTTTTGCTTAGCTGTCGCTTAGCATTAGCTTAGCTTTAGCTTAGCTTTAGCTTAGCTTTAGCTTAGCTTTAGCTTAGCTTTAGCTTAGCTTTAGCTTAGCTGTCGCTTAGCTTTAGCTTAGCTTTAGCTTAGCTTTAGCTTAGCTTTAGCTTAGCTTTAGCTTAGCTTTAGCTTAGCTTAGCTTAGTTTTAGCTCAGCGTTAGCTTAGCTTTATCTTAGATTCACCGTTACTACTAATGCTGCTTTCCTAGGGGCTCCAACTCCTAGGTAGGGTCGCACTGGGGCAATTCTATGTTTTATTATTTTGTTTTACTTTCGGGCTTCCGCCCGCTCTCGGATGGCTTTCGCCTACTCTTAGGGTGGGTTCTTCCCAGCTTTGGTCCCATTTGTCCGCAGTCCACCTAGGCCTACCCTCGCGCGAACGGACCGAAACCGCATAACTGCGGCGTCTTACCTGAGCTGTATGCCTGTGAAGGATCTAGCGCGCCTGTGGCTCGTTGGGCTGGCGACTCGTTGCCCATATTCCTGACGCGCCCAGGGTTCAGTTGGCACGCCCTTGCCGTGTTGCGACGACGGGGGCGGGGGGCCACGGGGAGGCAACGGGGGAAACCAGTAACCAGAGGCCTCTGAGCTGACAGTTGCATGAGGAGGACGAAGACCCCCCTGACGGGCATCAGCGATGTCCCTGCGTTTCCTTCGTTTCATGCGTTTCCCCCTCCCCCCCCTTCGGTCCGCACTCCAGAGAGGCAGGAGGGGCAGGAGGGGGACGACTAGATCCGCGGGCAGTGGGAGCCATCTGCCCTTATTGCTGCCGGCGTAGGCGTTCGCGGCAGCGCACTCGGCACTCGGCACCCTTTTCCTGGAGATCTGCGAGGCTGCCCCTGTCCGTGGAGTGCGCTCCCCCCAGAATGATCTCGGGGGTGGACAGAACCCCCACCCTGACACGTCGATTAGTGAATTGTCCGTTTTCGGTTCTCGAGGCCGTCATTTTCAAGGCTTGCGCCCGCCAGGTTTGGGTCCGAGGTCGTTTTCACTAATTCAAGTTTTGCCAAAGAGGGTTCTATCCTTCCTCGATGATCGGACACTGCCAGGACCTACCAGGATCCTACTGGGATGCCAGGGCCCTGCCAGGACCGCACCAGGGCTTGTCATTTCCTGCCTCAGCCCTCTGCTGTCAGGGTAAAGTAATGTAATATTGCCCCCATTCTGGCCTCAACTCCTTTCCAGGGCACGGGACACCTGTGCTTTGGCGATGTCGTGAGCCGTTTTCGTTCTGACATCGTCTTGCAGCAGAGGCGGAACGACGACAGAGCGAGGGAAGACGAGCACAAAACGAGAACGAAAAACACCGGTCAGCTCGCCTGCTCTCTTCCTCGGGGGGGGGCCGCGCGCAGTCACAGGGCGGGGCAGCTTCGACGCTCGTGGCACAGCCCGCGGTCTCCCAAACTACCGTGTGGTGTTTTAATTTGAAGCCACAGCCGTCCCGATCTGCGCTCTCCTTGCGCAACGCGCGGACACGCGAGGCTCGATGCCGCCTTTTATGGAGGCTTTGCTCGCTCTTGTGGTGGATCGGGCTCGGCAGTCTGGGGCCAGTGCGAGCAGTTTGTGTTGGCTATTGTGCTCCCCCTGGCGAATGGCAGCAGCAAATGGCAAGCAAGAGGCTTGAGCCCGTTGTCTAGGACGACAACACCAACAAGTGACACTTACGGTGTTACTCGCAGATCATACAGGACATTACCTTTCATCTATTTGCCATTATTTCCATTGATCTATTGTGTGTGTCCTCTGTATCTTTCTCTCTCTCTCTCTCTCTCCCTCTTTTTCCACCGAAGACACATCGGGATGAACGACAGACGAACAGCCGTTCCATTGCAGCGTGGTAAACCCGTGCGCATTTCAAGCAGGGTCAGTGGCACACCTAGCATACGCCGAATGGATTCTCATCCATGCCTGGGCACGTTTGCTGCCCAATCGTTCACTTGAATCTGTCCGAATGCAGCATTTACACGTCTGCGATTCGAGCGCTTCGCGACAGCACCTTTCAGCGGCGTGTAGGAGTGATACCTCTTTTGACGTTACGGTACGATGGAGGCAGGGCTCGTAGGCATTGTTCCGCAGAGTGCCCTGGGCGGCTTTCCCATGGGTGTTTGATTGCTTTACGCGTGGTCGCCCGCTCCGCATCCCGACGTGCGGAGACGGCACATGAGGCGTGCACGGGGGCCCAAACGCGCCCCAAAGCGGCGCCAAGCCGGCCCAAGAGGCGCCCAAGCTGGCCCAAGAGAGCGCTGCAGGTGGCTCTCCAACTTCGCACAGGCGCGCCAAGACGGCGGTGAAGAAGGCCCGCAGGGTTTCAAAACGGCCCCAGAACGCCCACCAAAGGCTCACAGAAACCTTCACGAGGGCTCCCGCATGGGCGTGGTTTCAGATTCCCAGAGAGGCTTCCGAAGACTTGAAAGCGAGCCCGTCATCGGAACAGGAAGCTCTCCAGCATTGTCTTGCGTTGTTCTGGGGAGCTAGACACATACGCACATCTACCTGGCGAAGGCAATTGGGGCCCAGAAGCCACGGCCTCGAACCCACAATCTGGGTCCACCCCCCTGGGGCCTCCTGAGCCGCTGCCTGGCCGCTGAAGACAGCCCGTGGGGCGTTCCAACAGCGCCTACGATGGCTTCCAGACTGCCCGAGAGGCCGCCAAAAGCGTCTCAAATGCGCCCCAGGACCGCTCAAGATAACCCTCTAGGCGGCTCCGGAGATCTCCAAGACGCCCCGAGAGAGCTTCGAGAGGCCTCCCAAGGGTTCCAAGAGGCCCAAATCGTTCCATTCCCTGCGGAAGACGGACATGTTTCACACGTTCACCGTTTTGGTCGCCCCATGACGGCCACATGGGCCTGCAATGAGGCATCAAAGCTGCCGAAGAGAGGCTGAAGACCAGTGTGGGTCACTACTTCAGTGGAGCTGCCTGTAACCGAATCGCACCACCCAGTGAACGTTAGTGGCGATGAGGAGAACGGAGGAGGAACGAGGAGAAGCAGGTTCTTCGTAGCCCTTCAGGTATCTCAAAGTCTCTGCGCACGGCCCGCATCGGAGAGAGGGAAAACGCAGACGTGTATGCCGGGGCTCGGTGAGGGCCCTCGGGCACCCTGCATGTATGCTGGCGTACGGGGGGGGCGGCCGGGGCCCTGGCTGGGACACCCTGCCAGAGTTCCCCCCCCCCACGACATGTTCGACCCTTTCCGGGGCCCCCCAGAGGCCACCAAAGAGCGTCCAGGGCCGAAGACGCCCGAATGTTTTTGTCAAAACGGTTCAAGAGGCCCCGAAGACGTCGAAGGCTCCAAGATGGGCCCCGAGAGGGCTTCAGGAGGCCACAATGGTCTCATCCCCTAGTGAGGCGATGCATCTTTTGCATATTCCCAATTTGGGCCTCAACAGGCTTGAGAACGGCCCAAGAGGGGCCCCACACATCGCCCCAGGACGGCCCAAGAGGCCTCCAAGAGAGCCCCAGGTCGGCCCAAGAGGGCCCCAAGACGGTCCAAGAGGGCCCCAAGAGGAGTCCAAGAGGGGGAGTTCCAACTGACATTTCGAGCCTTCCGCCTTCCGCCACGAATGGGCCCCCGAGGCCGCAGCAGGCACCCAAGAGGCCCCCAAGGGCCACAACAGATACCCCAAACGGCCCCCACATTGCCAAGCATGCCGCATGCCAAGAGACCCGTAACTATATGTATCCAAGGTATCCTTTGGCCCAGAACAGGTACAATGACGGTATGGACCGAAGGCCATGGATAAGCAAGTCATTGGTACATCGTGCGCCGCGGGGCAGTGCGGCAAGATGGTTGCTGCGGAGAACGCGTGCACAGGTGTGCTGAATTTTGGAATCTGTTGTAGGGCAAGATCCGCGTGAAGGGTGTGCCTAGTAACTCGGATTTCTTCGCGCGAAAACCCGCACTGAGGCCACAGGTGGACAACCTTCAGGCACGACCTGTGCGAGGCATGTTTCGAAATGGACGGGGGTACGCCATGCGAAGCTGCCCATTGGTGTCATAGCTCCCTCTGGGGCATGGTTCGCGCGACGGGTCTGCCGACATGGGCGGGAAGGCGCTGATTGAACCTTGTCTCCGGGCCATTCGGTGGCGCTCCTAGTGGGCGCGATCCGCCTGATGGGGTGTGCGCAATGGCCAGGGGGGACGCAGTGCGAACCTTGCCTTTGGGGCCGTAGGTGGAGATCCTTGTGGGCCACGATCCGTGTGCGAGGTGTGCCGAAGTAGACGAGAGGTCCGTGGAATTCCTTGCGGGCCACGATCGGTGTGAGAGGTGCGCCGAAATGAACGGGGCGACGCTAAGAAGCTTCACTCTGGTGCCGCTTCTGCAGCTATTTGCGAGGCACGATCCGCGTGAGGGGCGTGCCACCAGGCGAGCCTTGTCTCTGGGGACGTAGGCGGAGCTCCCTGTGGGGCGCGATCCCTGTGAGTGGTGTGCCGGCAGGGATGGGGGAACGCTAGCCAAGCCTTTCTGTGGGGCCGCAGGAGGAGCTCACTGAGGGCACGAGCTGTGCGACAATCTATGTCCTCCTCCAAAACCGCACATTTTAGACTACAACTAGAGTTTGCTAGAACCCAAGCGCGCGAAGCGCGCGCGTGGCTCTAGTGTGTGCATATAAATATGTGTATACAGGTACATTGATGTGTACATTTGTTTATTTATTCATTTGTATATATAGAAACAGAGGGGTAGAGAGAGAACAACAACAAACACGTGCAGAGGGAGCGAAAGGGGGGGATAACGAGAAAGAGAGAGAGAGAGGTATAGAGAGAGAACGAGAGATAGAGAGAGGCTATACGTAATGTATGGAGAAGGATGAAGAAGAGAGACATAATCAGAGGGATGTGGCCAGGTGGATGATGATGATGCTGATGATGCTGATGCTGCTATTGCTGATGATGATACTGATGATGATACTGATGATGATTATGATGATGATGCTGATGATGATGATGATGATGATGATGATGATGATGATGATGATACTGATGATGATTATGATGAAGATGATGACGATGATGACGATGACGATGATGATGATCATTATTGTGGAGATGGTGATGCTGCTGATGATGATTATGATGGTGATGCTGATGGTGATGATGTTGATGATGATGATGATGATGATGATGATGATGATGATGATGATGATGATGATGATGCCAGTTGTGGTGCTGATGCTGATGGAGGAAGAGGAGGAGTCGGGGAGTCGAGGATACCTTTCTCCTCCCTCCACTTTATTGCCCCCCCTTGCCATTGCTACCGGCTGCTTTGACTGCCTCGGTGCCGGCCACAGAGCGGGTGGCGGATTTAAACAGAAGCGCTGCGGCAGAGGCATACAATGGATAACCATATCCGCCTCAAGGCACGTTTGATGCCGACCCACCCCTAGATGCACATTTGAAAATGTAGCAGGCGGTGGGCTCATGCCGATAGTTTGCCACCGTATTAAGACAGATGGAGGGGTCGAGGAAGAGGAGGAGGACGAGGACGAGGATTAGGATGATGATGATCATGCTTATGATGATGATGATGATGATGATGATGATGATGATGATGATGATGATGATGATGATGATGATGATGATGGTGGTGGTACTGATGATGATGATTACGTATGATGATGAGGATGAGGATGATGATGTTGATGAATCTGACGATGATGGAGATTGTGATGACAATGATGGTGTCAATGAGGGTGTCGATGATGGTGATGATGATGAACGTGGTGGTGGTGATGATGATGATGATGATGCTGATGCTGATGATGATGATGATGGTGATGATGCTGATGATGATGCTGCTGCTGATGATGATGGTGATGATGATGCTGATGATGATGCTGATGCTGATGATGATGACGATGATTCTGATGATACTGAGGAGGATGAGGATGATGATGAA